TTTGATCTTTTTATAAATTTACTCTTATGAACATTTCTTTGCTAGATTTACTGGCTTTTTTTCAGGTACAGTATAACCATATATTCAATCAGGGATGGAGCACATAATTACAGTCACCATTTTGGACAGTGTCAACAAGGATGGCTGGGTCCACATTATTGCTGGCCAAGACCCGCTGGGCCCGGGCCAGCATTTCGGGGCTCAGTTTGTTTCTCCGGGCCAGGATCCAAGCAAACTCTATCCGAAGCAGGAAAAAAACGTCAATGCACGAGTAGATGCAGGCAAAGTTCTTGTAGTCAGTTTCCAGCACCCGGTATTCACCTGTTCTTGGCACTATTTTACAAAAAAAAACAATTACAAAAACAAGAATGATTTAAAATGAGGGCACAGCAATTTTTTAATTCATACAAAACTACTTTTGAATTTTAAACCTCAAAAATAATCCGAGACTCACCATTTTGGAAAGAAACTGCCAAAACGCCATCATCAAATGTTTCAGATGCGGTTCCATTAATAACCCTTGGAGTGTCTTCCAATCCAACAGTTCCTGCATTGATGATTCCAACTTGGGCAAAAGGATAATATTGCTTACCTGGTCAAAATGGAGAAATAAAAGGAGCAATATGGCATATTTTTCAAACTTTCCAGCTATGAGTGTCCCCATGGAATTTATTTCCATTAAGTAAGATCAAATCAACTGTTGATGATTCTACACATGTTGTCAACTCAGCTGATGTTTATGGGTTTAACTTGACTTTGGAAATTTTCCAGGAAGACATCCAAGTGACTACTATTATTTATCAAATATAATGGAATTAAATTTTACTTGATTTATTTTTTTAAATTTCAGCTCAGATGAATAAGCTACACTTCCTTGAGTTATGTTTTATTTATTGTACAATATTTTGGGAAAATTCAACTGAGTTCTTCAGGAGATATTCAATTAGCCTGGTGATGCATGAATATAAATATTAAAAAAAAACCAGAACTCAAGCAACATTTCATGCAACCTAGCTGATATTCATCTTTTAGTGCATAATGTTACTTGAATTCAGTTTAAAAAAAACTGGAACCTAAAAATATGAGCATGGGTAAAACAAATGTTCAAGTAAAAGGGACTGATGATACAATGAGAAAATTAGCAAATCAAAATCATTGCAGGAAACCACCATCCACTCACAAAAATACTCTGACTCACTCAATGGCCCATAGAAGGCTTGAACACATTCCAAGTCTTTCTCAAAGAAGTTGGGGTACCTCTTGATTTCATACCAAAGCCCAGAATACTGAAAAGAAGAAACACTCCCATTTTGTTCCACAAACTCTCAACACAACATAAGATGCCATCATGCTGGAAACAATAACTAGGAATATTTGACCTTGGACATGTCAAATTCACTCTTGGTGCTCTTTTCTTCACAAGGTCCAGGCTGGAGGATCACATCAGGAGCAGCTTGGCAAGATATAAATAAATTCATCAGGACAACCACAATGACAGTTTTTCTCATCCTATTTTCCACAAAAACAAAAGCATACATGAAAATAATGTAATAAGAAGGATAGAAATTCAATATGTGCAGCATTTAAAAAAAAATAGACCTAATCATACATGATTTCATCAACAGTTATTTTAATACCCCTTCCCTCAATCTTGTCCCACCAGAACTATAGGCTCAAAGACAAAGAAATTTCACCATCATGGCCCCACATAACATAATTTGCTAGGGCAAGAGAATATTGGCAGTGTGAAACAAGTTTCCACCAAAAATGGAATGATTATTGTCCTCCTTGGAAATTATTTTTCAAGACTCTGGAATGAAAGAAATTGGTCAAATTTGTTCTCTAATTTTTCAAACATTTTTGGCAATTGATAAGTCAAAAGGAAGAAAATTCCACACCAAAAACCTTCAGCAGATATCCAAACTGTATAATGTACAAGTTTCAATTTTTCAAACACAGAGAGAATTTAGCCTCAACATTTTTTTTTTAAATAATTGATGCATAACAGAGACACACAGAAGATGAATGTAATAGCTCAATTTTGCACAGAAACCAAAGCAACACTGGGGAGAGAAGTACTGTACTTCACTGTGGGACTTCAATAAAAGAGAGCTACTCTATTTTTTCTATTCTGGCAACTTTGAGGTCAGCCAAGCAGAATAGGAGAGAAAGTCCTTTGAAACAGAAACTGACTGCGCCCAGGAAGAGAATTTCCTGAAAATATAATGATCACCTTATTATCACTACTTTTTCCCCACACAGCAGATTTTGTTGGCTCTGGTCCCCACGCACAAGGCTTTGATCATCATCCAAGCATTATATTCCATGAAAATCATTGGTCATATATTTTACTTCTTAGTCCATAAGCCAAGAAGCCATGTGTGTCTTATTCAACTCTTCATGCTGAACTTTCTCGAACTTTCAATTACTATTCATCAGCCAGAAAAAAAAAATCTCATCCAAGTATATACTTTTGCACATCAGAAAGAATAAGAAGCAGAATATTCATTAAAAAAAAAAAGACTTGGGACAATTGAAAGAGAGTAACATATCCACAAAAATGCCTTTTATTCCAGTTTTTCAAAAATAGTTCAACTAATAGTTGTAGAGCAGTTTCAATTCATGTATGTTAATCTAAAACCTATTACAACTAGATTATATAGACATGATGGATGCATTCTCTGTCAACATCACCATAGGATCATAGATAATATGGTCACAAAAATATTAAGCATGAGGAATCAACCCTGGGTGTCTTCAGGAATCACGTAGTTACAGTCAGCATCACCTTGTACAGTTTTGACAAAAAGTCCAGTGTTGATATTTCTGTCAGTGAACACTTTTTCTGCCATGGCGGAAATTTCCGGGGTTGGAATCGTTTCACGAGTCAGAACCCACGCGAATTCGATCTTAAATAAGAAGAAGTTGATGCAGGAATACACGCTGGCATAACTAGTGTAGTCAGTGTCCAGCACTTTGTATGTTCCATACACGGGAGCTGAAAAAAGAAATACAATACTATGAGAAGCATATGAACGTACAATCAAGTACAGTACATCAGCTGGAAAAACTGCGCGTCGCTTAGTACACGCTCTGTGAAAGTGTAGGGCGAAAAAGCAAGATGTCCGCGTCCTTGAGCCGCGTTGAATTCCTAGCGGTAACTTCACCGGTAAATGTCACGAAACGTCTACAGTACTTTCACTTCTTGAAGCCACAGGGAACCGTCGTCTCAACTTATTGAAATTTCAATTTCGCGAATTTTTCAAAGAACCGCTCATTCGGGGAATTCAACACTTATAAATGCAATACTTAAACTACACTTCCAGCAACAAAGCAATGTTCCTGATGAAAGTTACGCGGACGTTCGAAGTGTGATTCTTTCATCATCATAAACTGAGGTTTCCCACGGCTTCAGACATTTTCGCGTCTTCTGCATTCAATATCGGTAGATAAAAAAATTAAATGGACTTACCACCCTGAAACTTGACTTTCAGAACTCCTGGTTGCCAGGACTGGATGGCAGTTCCAACGATTACGTCAGGCGCGTTGTTTTTTATTCCTGCATTTGTCACGTTTAGTCGGAATCTACCGAATTGATCATCTGCATAGTAATAGAGAGAAATCGCAGCTCATCTGATACCTGTGAGAATCAAATTATGCCTCGGAGAATACTAACCCAATCTGGCGTAGTGAGCTTGCACGCACGACAAGCCATCTTCGAAGGAAACCGGAAACCTTTCGTACTCGTACCATAGTCCAGCGTACTGGTGGAGGAGAATTCAAATAGGAGTAATAGTCGCAAGCCATTTTCATTCATTGACGCACCTCGGTTATGTTAAGATCCGTTTTCACGCTGGGTTTGACGCAAGGACCGAACGTGACCGTATTGGTCCCACCGTGGACCACACTCAGAAGATAGCAAATTGCAAGGAAAACCGCCAACATTTTCAACTCTTGCTGTCACTTCAGACTAGGTGAAATATTCGTACTGTATCTCCTCTGCTCAGCTCAGCACTTCGACGACGACTGCACTCCGCATTTGCATGTTTTTAAAGGTTTTAGAAAGCTCTCAGGGATGATCACCCTTGAAAGCTTTCGAACTTATGCAAGTTGCGTGGGGAGTTCCTTCGGTTTGTGACGATGTAAAGGTATTTGTTTTCTGGCGCGGATGATTTCTGATACGTGACACAGAAAAATTCGGAATACGAAACTGTTTGTCCAGATTACAAAACGTTGTGTTCACGGCGTAGATGCGTCCAAGCTCTTCACAATTGCAAATACATGCAAGTACTGTACCGGTTTTCTCGCGGTTAAGTTGAAAACACTTCCATCAAACGACCCTCGCTCAAACCAGATACCTACCGTATATAAATTTCCGCAAATTACTGATTATGGAAACATAAATTAAGACACTGTCCACATAATGCGTTGAAAAGCTATGCTAATGTTGCGAGGGTCACGTTTCACTGGGTCACGAACGGAATTTAAAGGTCGTCCGTGAAGAAAGCTTCGAAAAGAACATCTGTTCGAATCTTTGTATCAAAAATGGGTTATAACATTTGTCAAGCTGACTGATGGAAAATGTTCGAGTGGTCACTTCGAAAATCACGTGTCACTTGCGTTTCAATGTGTCAGAAACAGACAAGAATTGCAACAAGTCATTCTGAGTAAGTGCGCTCTTTTTTACATAATCTCCAGAACACACTTATAATTAAAGGCTTTGAAAATTCCTGCATTATTGTCAAGTGAAATCAGCCTTATACAAGCACTTTCATGCCATATATTTCTATTAGGAATATTTTATGCAAAGAGAAGTCGAACTGCCTGAGATTTTAACTATTACTTGTCAGTTTTCTGTCCTCTTAATACTTTGAACACATTCCCAGAAGCAATACAGTGAAAATTTGTCAAAACAAATCTCAGCTCAACAAAGTATTATTCAGTACTAATTCAATGTTTGAGATCCCTTCAAAGGAAAGCAAAAAAAGTCATTTAAAGTTCATTACATAAAAATTGATAATAAGGAAGCTTTTTCCAGGTCCAACAAAGGGCTTCATTGAGGTAATGAGCACTTGGATGGTTGATCACTCTTTTCAGCCACTGAATACATACAGTAGAATTTTAATGCAACAAAGCATTTGCTTGGACCTAAAAAAAAGCTTTGTTCATTATAAACAAAATTAAAATAACTTATGGCTAAGGGGAAAAAAAACAATAAATGTTTGTAAACATTAATTTGTTATTGAGATTCCTTCTAATGAGATTCCACTTCGTATACTAAAGTAGTAATTTGTAAGAATCGAATTCACATCCTCCTTTTTCAAGATTTTAAATTTAAAAGATTGCAGATTAAATCATTGAAGAATGCTCCTGTGCTGCAGGTTTTAAAACAGATACAAAATGGCACCATTTCTACAGTGGAATGTCAAAAAAATTCCTACTCCCAATTTTCAAATTTTTCCAACAGAAAAAATTATTCTTTTAACTCATGAACTAATCTGAGACTTAAGCAAACAATTCCATCAACAAAAACCGCACGTGTTATCCCAATGATGACTCATTCAGGACAGCTTATCATGTCACACAAAAAACTAAGTCAACCGAAAGCATATCTGATCAATAGACGTAGAGGATCACGGAATCGAACGAAGGTTACATCCGTTCCGGCGGAAGTCAAATATTGCATCCATATCCGCTCGTTTTTCACGAAAAAAACGACGCATCAGTCCTATGTACTCACAAACACGTATAAATTGATTTTAATTGATGAAGAGGAAAATTTGAACTGGTATTTATAGTTGAGGGAATGATATCAGGTGATTTAAAACTTTTTTCTTCGAGACACAATACATTTTATATCATCCTCAGAATAGAAACTTCATACCCGGAATAAAGATTATAATCCCAAAAGATCCCTCTGGTCTTTGGTCAATTATGAAGAAATTAGAAGTATTGAACCTAACATATTTAATTCAACAGTAAATTTTTATCTTCATGGTAAACTTAGCGCGTAATGCAAAAAAATGCTAAAATTGTCCCTTTCCAATCATGTCAATATTTCAAAGTCATTTAATCTCAAACATATCTTTCCACAAAATTTACCTTTCAATACATTTGTAGTTGGGGTGAATTTAAATTTTTCGGGGAACTTCCCCCAAATTTTTCTATCAACTGTAAACCAATGAAATATTTTCTACATTATTTGAGGAGTGCTGCGTTTTTAGATCACATAATACGCTACAGAATATTTTCCAACAAAATCACACTCCATGCAAAAAAAAAAGTTCTCAAATCGATTTGGCAGAAAGAATCCCTCTTTTTTTATGCCAAGAAAAGACACAACAGATCCCAAATCCGCTCCAAACGCAACAAAGAAAAAAAAATCGATAGCTCACCACGACCTGTTTCCCTCCCAAAACACACTGATCTTCATCATGCAACCAAATCTCCCAAGATCAACACACATGAGAGAGAAAACGAAAATAAAAACCAGCTTTCAAATCACGTCTCTTTTCGTTTCGTAATGGTCTCGAAAGCTGAGGTTCTTCCGTCCCCACAATTAACTGAACATGTCATCGTATCCCGGCGGGCTCATGTGGTCGGGATCCGGTCCAGAACCCGGGGGTCCTCGTTTACCCCCTCTGCCCTTCCCACGGGGCTCGTGGAAACCCGGGAACAGGTCGTCTGGGCCTGAAGGACCCGTGGGATCGAACCTTGCTCCTGGTGGGACAGCTCCCCTGATGGAATTGAAGAAGAACAACAAGATAACTATTATCTAGTCAAAAAAAAGAAACCCTCTTTCACTCAGTGGTTTTTTTTTTTTTTTTTTTGGTGATGCACAGCCGAAAGAAAAAAATCTTTTCTCGATTCCAACGGAATAACTTTTAACCAGCCGACGACTGCTTCTTAAAATTTGGAAGACATTATCGTTTTATTCATCCAGTTATTCATTGGATAAATATCAGTTATCTGATCTTCACAAAATGACTCACGGAGGAAGATTTCCAGGGACGCCCGGCTGTCGTTTCCCGGGTCCCCTGAACGGATCAAACAGCATCCCACTGCCTCCGGGCATTACCGGGGCAAACGGACCCAATGGCCCCATGGGCACACCTCCGATCCCAATGGGATCCAGATCTGATCTTCCGATCGGACCCACTGCTGGACCCAAAGGTCTGCCTCCCAATGGGTCAATCAGTCCCCGTGGCGGAGGGATGGCTAAATCTGGTTCCGGGTACCGTGGCATCATTGGCCTGCTTGATCCTGGCACTCGTCCTTCTCTGTAATAATGAATTGGAAAAAGTTCAGGTCAAGTCAGGAATACTGGTGGACTCTCCTTCTCTACAAATATTTCAACTGTAGAACGAATTCTTGTTTGGTCCCATCCCAATGCTATATTTTTTGCCGGTCCATCATGGGAAATAAATTTATCAAAAGATGGCAAGCAAGTCTGTAATCTTTATGTGGAAACTTGAAAAGACAATGACAGTTTAAGTTATCTGATGAAAATTACAAATCGGCTTTCCTCTTCAAAATGCTTCAGAAAAATTTGCACTTGGTTTATTGAATGATTTCAATTTTTTTTGGGAAATCCTTTTTCAGCCCCTCCTTTTCTAAGTTTTTTTAAAGACATTCCACTACTACAGCTTCATTTGAACTTGACTTCAGTTTTTGCAGAAAAACAGGAACCATTCAAATAGAGTGAGACCCCAAGATGCAGGCATAATTGGTGCATCAAGAGTGTCTCTAAGTCAAAATGTCCTAAGGTGAAGTCTCATTTTCCCTTAGACTTACATTATATAATTTCAATTGGTGTTTTATGAACAAAATACTCACCATAATTCCATGAAAAAAAAAATTTGTCTCCCAAGTGAAACAGATTCAATCAATATATTTCAACACAATATGGACATTTGGGGAATTGAATACAGTACTGATACCTCTGTACAGTACGTAGAAATTTTGGCATTCTCTGTAAACATAAAATTCAAGTGAAAAAGAGAGAATGAAGTCCCTCTATGCTGGAGGTAATTTCTTTAAATTAGCTAAATGGATGGTAAATTGGTGAGAGAAATGCCCAAGAACTTTTATTTTAGGGTTGGAAATATCTGTTTCTTGCAATTAAGCCTTGTAAAAAGTCAACTTACTTGCAATTTTATCACAAAATGTCCCTATGTCAAGTCAGTGTCCTCATGTTGGACCTTTTTTGATAAATTTTTATGGGAAAATAAGTGTCCCAATGTCAAATTGTCCACATATGGGGGTCTCACTGTACCTGCCATAGAGTCTTTCAAACAAATCTTTTTCCAAGTCTGCAACAATTTTATAAAGCTTAGCCCTTTTGAATAAAATTTCTTGGAAATTTGCCGGTCCACAAAAAATGTGTAGAATATTTGCGGTCCGCGGGACCAAATACATTGTTTTAGAGGTTTACTACAACGAATTTTTTTCTGGTCCCTGGGATTTCATTCTGCGGAGAGTCCACCCATACATGGGTGAATAAGTTTCGAAATGAAGCCATTGTCCTACAAATAATGCCCCCGCTGAGGAGCATACAATTTACCCAGAGGGTCGACAGATGGCGTTGACCAATCGGCGAATGTCGTCGTCGGAAAAGCCGGCATTGGGCAGTTGCTCTTCTAAAATATGCCTAATGACGGCAGTGCACTCGTCCCGCGTTGGCTTGTGGCTAATGGCACCAGGGACTTCTTTCTTGGCTGCTTTCGTGGGCACATTCAGGGACGTTTCCAGTCGCTCGTTCAATGCAGCAGCGTTTTTGTAGCATCGCTTAAAGTCGGAATAATCCTCGGTCACTTCTTCAGGCACGTTGACGACGAAGCTTTGCACAGTTTCCGCTTCCACATTCTGGCGGAGAAATGAAAGAATCATTGCCCAGGACATTTATCCCACTCGGGTAGATGTCGCTCGCAGTTTCAAAAAGCATTCTCAATCCATGTACAGTACAGAAAGAGGCACAGAATATTCGAATTGGTCATATTTTGGGCCTCGAACTGCAGATAAAATGAGTTGATCAATTAATAGTAACGCACGTCCTTTTTGAGCAGAATTTATAGTTACTCTTTGTCTTTTGAAGTGGAACTGTATGAAGAAGTTACACGTAGCATTCAACACAGAAGAAATCTCGTTATAACGATTTGATGCTTACAGCGAATTAGTTTTTGGTCCCGTTGTAGCAGACACAATATTACTTTAATTTCGTACGAAAAGTAAAATCTGTTTTAAAATCATAATTTCTTTTATAATGAATAAAAAGCACAAGCGGTTGCAACGATTATAAATAATAAGCACCCGAAAAATTCCCAACAAATACTCACCAACAAAGCAGCAACTAGAGAATTTTTCCCTTTCCCAGACCGGATCACAGCCAAGTTAAACGGAGAATTGTCTCTCACGTATCTGATTCTATAATTCCCTGAGGCATCCGCATTCCAGCCATCGGGCAAAAGCTCGGAAACGTCATTGAAATTTTCTCTTTCTGGTTCCTCCTGAAAAAAAAAAATAAATCAATAACAAAAATGTTCAAGAATCCCAAATGTAAATCCGTTGTTCTTGGTTGATGGGCAACTCGCCCAAGAAGACAACTCAAATAATTTTGCATTTATACAATTTTTTTTTCATTAGAAAAATGCAGATTTGTTCAACAAACTTGAATGCATTGTAAACGCCATGTCATAAACAAATCCGCATAAAATACAAAACAATCATTAAATGACGAATGATCTAGACGACAAAATTATATCTACATTTTCCAACGCAGCAATTGAAAAAAAAAATTCGTAAAAAACAAAATTACAATAATTCGAGTCGTCGCCTTTGACGAGTTGTCGAGAATCGTTCTTCTTCCATTTTCCCTTTTGTTTTTGATATTTGAAAATAAAAGATTTCACGGTCGTACCTCGGGAATGATTCCGACAGTTTTGAAACCCAACGACATGAGCTTCCAGTGCATGAATAACACGGCAGCGTCATACTTGTTCTTGAAGTCTCCTCTTGTCGCTTTGAACTGAGTTTCCAGTCCAATCAGAGGCGCCATTTTCCTGCACTGAAATTTCGTCTCACAAAATCAGCTTTTTTTCACGCTTTTATTTCCCTGGAATTTAAAAAACTCAAGTCTCAAACGACGAAAATAAAGCATTCACCACAGTAGTAAAGATAAAATACCCCTCTTGTCTGAATTTTCTTTTTCTATTTTTTTTTCAAAACGTGCACAAAATATTTCATACCATCAGGAAACAACCGTAGAACATTTTAGCACCACAACCGTTTTTTATGGAACCCTGAATGCCCTCGTTCATCACAGAAAAACGGATGAAAACAATTGAAGAAACACAGTTTCAAAATAAAGTACCTTCTTCAAAAATGAACAGTCTGAGAGAAATTAAAAAACACTGATAATCAATTTCTACAATCATAATGCGTTTTTTCTAATGGTTGTCAATAAAAAAACAGAGTGAAAAATCAGCTGGTAAAAATTGCATCCTAAGCGATGCAAGTAAATTCTGCACTTGGATTTCTCCACCTTTAATTACTTCATGAATTGTCTAAAGTAGTCAGTATTTACGAAAAATTTCAATTTTGGGCAATCGAGCTCAATTTCATCACACTTCCATTTAAGAGGGGTCAAATGAAAATTATTTTTCGTTCCTGAGTTGCTGAAAGGAAATTCAAATTTATAACAACAACAAAATCATGCAGTCAAAACCGATTGTAGAAACTTGTGAAGGTAAATCAGAGCAGAAAACAATCGCATCGAGAAAACCAAACAAGTTTACGCATTCGGTATCAAACTGGAATGTTTTCTAGTTATTTTCAGTATGATTTTAGAAATTGATTTCCATCAGTCCAACAACTTTTAAAATTATTCTAGCAACAACAACAAAAAAACACCTTAATTCATGTACTGTAATTAAGTAATCTACGCCAAGGATACTTTCAATTCGCCCTTTAGGTTAGAAACTCCCGCTGGATTTCCAAATCTCAGGAAAGCAGCTTCGTATTCCTTCCGAACTTTATTCGAGAGGGAAGGTCTAGTAGTTTTCAATTCTTCTTTCACTAGTTTCCAGGAAATTGGAACAGCTTCTCTTATTGCCCTCAGGTGGGCATTGTGAACCAACGCCGACAAATCAGCTCCACTGAATCCTTCAGTTTCCTGGGACACGATTTCAGTCAAATTCTCGTCACCTGGAACATAAACGAAAATCAATTTCACGCAACCACTTCATTGTAAAACATTTTCAACACTGAAAACTCCGACGAATTCCTGAAACACTAATTACATTACAACATTCATGTTTTGCCGTTTTTTCTCACCAGTTTTAGTGAATACGGTATTCGTCTTCCCGATTTTTTCTTGCTTTTATATTTCGTGAATAAAACCTATTCCTACGTAAAGAAGTTCAGAAACAGAAAATCTTTGAGATTTTCCAGTGATTATCTTTCTTAATTCTTCAATTATATGTTTTACACTGACACTTTCAGAGACTAAACTTAGGAAATAAGGATGAAAAAGGTTTTTATACTTAATTGCTAAGTTTAATCTCTGAAACACAACAGAACGTGGACATGAAATATTAGCTTCGGAGCACTGTATAACTCATAGACTTAGATTACACAGTATTCAACTTATTAAACTTAGGTTCTATGATTTGGTTGTACAGATTTGAGGGAGTAAAATAGGAAATAAAACTTATTAAAAGAGGAAACCCCCTCAAACTCCTTAGGGCATTACACAACCAAATGATATAATAATTCCAACACGAAAAGCTTGCAAATTTGTCAGGTGCATGCCAAGACTTGGCGGAAACCAACTCAAGACACAACACTTACAATACAAAAACTTGATGATGAATTCGTTGGCGACTCACAAAATGTGAGATATTCGACGAAAAGGAAATAAACCAACATTTTCACACGTCAAAAAATTAAAATAAAGCCGTCACCTTCTAGCCCGACTTTCTTCCCAAGCTTGGCCAGCAACTCAAATCTCGCTTCTGAATCAGGAAACGGACAAAGCAGGCATTTGTCAAAACGTCCCGGGCGAACCAGCGCCGGGTCAAGAAGGTCCGGACGAGAACTCGCCGCCAAAACGTGAATCCCAGAGTCCAACGGCTCGAATCCGTCCAACGCAGTCAGGAGTTGGTTCACAACTCGGTCGGAAACCCCAGTGCTGTCGTGTCCTCGCCTCGGGGCAAGGCTGTCGAATTCGTCGAAGAACAGGACACAGGGTGACGCGGATTTCGCTCTACCATCATAAAAAAAAAAAAACAAGACAATATTAAGTCCTCGGAATCAACAACACAACTTGAGGCAATTGTTCGATCCAGTCCGGCGAGATCAGTGATCAAGAGCGACACCTACTCGAGCCTCTCGAAAGCCATGCCACGTGGTTTTGCGACAAATAGTCTCGATCTCGCGCGTCCGAGCATAAAATACTAATGAATTACTTTTCAAAAACGTCCCGGATGTTGGATTCGCTTTGCCCGATGTACTTTGACAACAATTCCGGACCTTTCACTCGTATCAATCCGATGTTCGCCTCAGCTGCAATGGCATGAGCCAGGAACGTCTTTCCAGAGCCTGGGAGTCCATAGAGAAGAACACCGCGACGCATCTTCATACCACACCTAAAAAAAAAAGGAAATGCTGTACCATGGCAACGCAGTCCAGGTTCATCAATTTAATTTCTCGATGTTACTGTACTACTTTTTCAGACATGGTACAATACTGTTTCTGTACCAAACCTGACAAGTAACAAGAGCTTTGTTAAACTTAATTCCTATGAAAAGCAGAATTGTAAAAATAAATTATTTTCAAGTTCACAAAAAAATTAAAATCTTTGTTAGCTTTTTATTTCTTCAAGATTAATATTACAGTACAGAACTGTATTTGTAGACAACCTGAGGACTTACCAAGAGTACTGTATTATGCCTTTCTAAATTAACCCTGATGGCTTCAAAAATGTTGGTATGTACCAAGAAAAACCAATTTTAAGGAGTACAATACTGTACTGTACTGTTTATAAAACAAGGTTATGCTACTCATTCCACTGAGAAATACAGTTTACAGTACAGCATTCCAAAAAACAAATGCTCCCATTTAGACAATTTCCCTTGAAACACCTGGTCATCCCTGACTGGATAAGGGGCAACAAAAAGCCATTGCAATATTAATGACACCAGTCTGACTATACTTCTCCAGACATTCAGACAAATTTAATGAAAAATGTAAGAAGAAACAAAATATTATTATTTATTACAGTACCACAACATACATACAGTACTGCTGATTTTTAACTAAGGCTTCATCTCATCCTGCCCTAAAATACTTAGAACATGCCTATTTCACAATACAGTACATGCATCTCCCAATAAAATTTCCATAAATAGAATGCACTTTCTCTTTTCACCCATTGATTTTTTACAGTCCACTCCTTGGAGATTTTTTTCCATTAATTCATGCATTCAAATTTCAAAATAATTTTTTTTAAATTGAGCATCATTGGTTTGAAAGTATATTTTTGAGAGAAAATCTCACATACTACTGCAACAGTTGGGTGGTTTGGGAACCGTCAATAAAAAAATCCCTAACGCAGTGTTCACTTATAGTAGCTCGGCTCATGAAATACTGTACTTTACATCTGTATCAATGGGAAGTCTATTATCCGAGGAGTCCACCAAATAAGCAATGAAAAAAATATCAACTGATCAACTCGTATACAGTAATTTACTGCAATAAGACTTCATTTGGAATTGCTAATCCTTTCAAAACTCAATTTTCAGCAACAGATATCACTACGATACAGTAAATCGAGAAAATGATTCATAACAGGAAAAAAAATACCAATGCACTTCAGCACATGAAACAAGTACGCTTGCCGCCACGTTTCCCAAAATGTTGAACGCTTAAATCTAGAATGAATAAAAAATTCTCATTCAGTCCATTATCCGGAGCAGGAATCTGAGGCATTCTGAATTCTTAGCGCGACAAAGAACATTCGCGAGGCGTCAATTTCTCGAGGAACCTAACTAGTCGAATTTCCCGCGAGAAAAAAAATTCCTCCGAACCGGATTTGAACCAGTGACCTATGGATTACAGCGAAGCCTCTACAGTCCACCGCTCTACCAACTGAGCTATCGGAGGAGATACAAGTCAAGTGCCATCTCCGGGACTATTGAACGCGAGGAACGACGACTGACAGACAGGTGAATTCACTCGCATCCCTTGCCTGCCTGCCTGCCCGCCCATCCAACAGCAGGGCAAAGTCGTGGTTATACTGGACTGTCAGCGCGGATCTTGCGCAGCAACGGATCGAGCACCCTGAGTTCAAACTAAGCGCCACCACGAATTGTTACACTGCCGATCGCTGAACAAATCAGCTGATAACCTGAGCGCTTTCGACATCCGCGTTTAAATAGAAAACAGCGTTACCAGTATGCGTATTACGAGAATTCCCACTGAACTAATTCGTAGTCCTTAATCCAGATACTGAATTCGAGTTCAAGATACTGCACAGCTTAATCTCACCTACACCATATAAAATGTGAACAAAATGAAAATTATATCCTCTGCACTCTAGAATGAGTTTGATTTTCCAATCTTAATCATCAACACCGGAACACACTGGGCACATATTCAGTAGAGTTTTAAATCACTGTTGTCTTATAATTTGTCAGGTTCTACAAATTTTCAGTTGTTTACAAAGAAAAAAATTCTTATCACTGTATCAGTTGCATTTTCCACATGAGAGTCCCCCTCTCACGTAATCAGGGCGGAGTTATTCTATCTTTTCTATTTTTCTTGCTGAGGAGTCATTTCTTCAATTTTTTATTTACCAGAGATTCCGCAGAAAAGTCTAGGCTGGGAGTTTATATTTATTTTTTATTTAGTTTCAAACTTCCTGAGACAAAAACTTTGCAAAAAATCCTACTTCTACTGCAGAAGGGTTGTTCATGGACTCTTGGGAGACCTGTAATCATTCAGCAATTACAAAAAGCTTTTTTATTTCTCTACTGACTAGACTTCCGAATATTGTAATGGACTTCCCATTACAAGGACTTTCAAGTCCGCCAACCGAGGTATATTACTATACGTCTAAACCTACATCCATCTGCAGATTACCGTGTCAAATCAAAAGAAATCAACACTGACTCACCTCGCGAAGAGTTTCGGGTACCTAGACGGCCAAAGAAAGCACTCTTCAAGCACAACTTTAACTTCCTTCAGTCCACAAACAGCACTCAATCCCGCCACGTCATCCTTCTTCACCTTTTCCGCTTTCGAACTGATCACTTGCTCCGTGGCATCTTCGAAACACTCCACGAAGTCCTTCTCGGGCTCACACACAACAGACAACTTCGCGTTTCGAACGCACTTTTCCAATTCACCGATTCCGCATCCATCGGAAAGCTGAACACACTTTTCTAGGGATTCTTCACAGCGGATAGAGTGATGCTTCAGAAAGGCTCTGCGTTCGTCGTGGCTCAAACGCACTGGGAGCTTGAAGGACTTGTGAAATGCGTGAAGCTTGAGAGCATCTACAGTGCCGGTGGCCAGGACTAAGACGCCCTTTAGAGAACACAGCGCACGTAGGATCAAGAGGACGTGTTCCTGATGCGGGTCTTCACTGGAATCGGCTATGTTTTCCAATACGATCAACGCTGGTCTTTGCCAAATGACCGAGTGAATCGCCTTCAACACGGCTTCGTCGATGGTCTCCAAGCGACGATCCATGAAATCACTGTAAAGGGATGAGATTCCACTATAAAAGAGTGAGGGTTGAAAGAATTTTCCAGCCTTTTTCGAAGGTTTTCCCAGTAGTCGTATCAGGAGCTTCATACTGGGATTCGAGTCAGAAAGCTCCGCCATAATAAAATTAAATCAGTAGTAATTTCCAACCTTCCAGCTTGGAAATTTTTCTTTCTTGAGGACAGTGATGCTGAACTCAGATATTTGGCCAAGGGCCATATTGGAGTTTTTTTTTATTTCAAATGAAAAAAAATTTCAGATTCCATTCAGTTCTTCGCAATGAAACACACACATAGCCTGACAAAATGTTTTAAGGGTGGAGCAAAATTTTGCATTTTAAAATTCATTTTTCAACATATATACACGCAGACTCTCTCTCTCTCTCTACAACAATTTTCTCTGTACCATAAATTTTTCTGTGGTCCAATAGACGAAGTTCTCTCCCCATGACCAAGGGGTTCTCTAAAACAAAATTCTTTATAGAACAAATTTTTTTCTGGTGCTTTGGGTTTTGTTTTAGAGTGTCCACCTGCATTCCCATTGGTGTTTGCTGCCCCCTTGTCATCATTGTGAAGGATTTCGGGCCCATGAAGAGTCTCTAATGCAGACCAAACCAGGTCCACAGGCTGTATGTTGGGGAAAAGGAACTAAATTTTGCCTTACTAATTTTGCGCCTATTCTACAGCCTAAATGTAGCATTTATTGGTTCTTTCTGTTTTCTTTTCAAATACATTATCCGGAAGTTAACCAAAACTCAGAAATAAATGATATTTCAATCACAAAGAAGCTTTAACCAGTAATACCTGCATTATCAGGGATTACTGGGTATCGTTAAAACTACAGTCATTAGCCCGAAGAATGTAAGTTCCGGAATTCGAAATCCATTTCGAGGAGTCAGTTTTTGTTTGCAAAAATGAGATTTTTACCTGTAATCTAATACCGCTGATTGGACATAAAACGGCTTTCCTGCGAACTTGGAAATCAGTTGCTTGGCGATCTTCGTTTTCCCGCTCTTTCTTGCACCGTGAATAAGAACCGTTACATTTGGAGGGTAATCTCCAGGTGAACAATTGAGCCATCGCAGGATCACATCCGCTATTTCATCAAAAATGTGCAGCCTAAAGTCGCAGTCCAGTGCATTACTATTGATGTGTTTCATTTGCGGAATCTCACACACTTCTGAGCTTGTTTCAATCATTTCCAAGTCCACTACTTCGCCACTTTTCACTTTCATCGCGCGCATGACGGATTGAGGAAGAAGCAAATGCGGGAACTTGACTTGGTAAAAATTGGCATCTCCGGGGATTAGGTCAAAGGTCATTGGCTCTTCGGGTTCGGTTCCAAACTTCCAGCCAGATGCTTTGTGGATGACTGCTTTGTTTGGTAGATCAAGGCCTATCAAAACACCAACTTGGAGCGTCCAATCGGCTTCGTGAGCTCTGATCAACAAAGCAGTTCGACCTGTACGAATTGAAATACGAGATTAAACTTCCACAAAACTCGATCTGTCTTTGGCAAGAAGAAAACAAGCATATAACCCTCCCGTAAGATTCTAGATACTGTAGCTTGAAAACGAAGGTACAGTATAAAAATTGGTTCAGAAATTTCTAAACGATCACCAACACTGAACCGACCTTCGAATGGACGAGGAACCGGAAGACCGCACTTCGAAACTACCACGAGTCTCGTCGAATTCACGACTTCAACCGGAATATCTCCAATACCGGAAGCTTCCGCGATCACAACTCGTTCTCGGGTCCAAACCGGAAACCGTTTCGGAACAATTCTCATCCTCGAGAGCAAATCTTCTTCAATAAAACTCGCACTGGAAGCCACAAGCTCGTAATCATCGGCCTCTGTCACTATCGTCAACTCAGACGCGGTTTTCACGGCACCAGAGTACAGTTTGCAGGAAATGAATTCGTCTTGCGAAAGTCCGAGGGAAGAAGCGAGTTGGGAGCCGAATTCCACGTGTACTTCAGATGTACTGGGTTGAGGGGATTGATGCACGTAGAATTTGTCACTGTGCTCACTGACGATTTCCCAGCACTGCGAGGTAGTGGAAAACCAAGCTGAGGGAACATTGATGAAACAGGTCTCGATTTCCGGAAGGATCTTCAGGACTCCAACCCGCTTCATGTTCGCTTCTCTACGAACAAATTAGCAAGCACTGTACACACGTGAACTCCCTATACAACGATTACTGTTCGAAGTGCCATTCCCGGAAGAATTTTGTTCTGGTTTCAGTACTGAACCTTCCGTCAAAAGCAAGAGCTGCTCTTCTGCAACAACTATTTCATATTTTCGACTAATGAAGAGATATGCGTAGTATAGTCCGTCATGCCCAAGGAACGGAGGAAAAGCATGCACCCGTTCAAAGGATCAATTTAAATGATTTATTAATCGCACAAAATAACGTGATTTATGACGACGTGTGGCGATTTTTCAAAAAAAAAAAACGCGAACTTATTTCAGCGTAGGAATGTTAATCATTTTTTAATTATCGTGAAGAACTGATCAAGTGAGATTTTAATTGGCGTTTGTCATCGCAATACATGGTCTTAGAGGAGATGCAGAATTTGCATTTGAAATTTAGTGACCACTTAATCCTTTATTTACGGAAAGAAAATGGGATTCTTCGACCCTCAATTTTATTTTTTGGTTTCTCATGACGACATTTACGGCGCGTCCAATGCATATTTCGTTTAAGGAATTATAAATGAAAAATGCATGTTTTACTGTACTTCAGTCACGCTGACGGATAAATATATTGGTTTGGCGACGAGTAGCCGAGCAGAGAAAAATGCTGTCAAATTCAAACTTAAAAGCGCGGAATGAAATTGTACATTTTTTTGAGGTCAAATTTAGCAGAGGCCTGAAAAAATGTCTGCATGTGATGCTTCATATTGACGGATACATTTTCGCAGGGAGGTGAGAGAATTCTGTCGTGGTTGAAACTTCGAATGCCATAGCAAAAGTATCTTCGTTCCGAACTCGGATCTGTTCACACTTGGATCAATCATCAGCGCATTGGAATGCAAACATTATTCAAGACTAATCCGATGTTCTCCCATTGAAAATCACAAGTGACTCGTCAGTTCTAGTCGATAGTTTCACGAGAACACATCTATGAGCTTTTCTGGTTCGAGGAGAAATTATCATCGTAAACTTTTCAAAATTTCCAACCATTCTGGCAATGCAGACAAATTAATTTCCATATTGCAGGGAGTATAATACACAGTATTCTTGAAAATGACAACTGAACACTTGAACATATTCGTAAATCTCGCGCACATTCTTTCCAAAATTTGACGAAAATTACGCAGGCGCGCAAATGCAGAAATGCAAATTTCATTTAATTTACAATGGAAATTTTGTCCTTTTCACAGCGAAAATTACTCAACTGCTGTTAGAGTGTTAGTGCAATTCACGATTATGTCACTACATTTACGAAGCAGCTAAAAGTGCAACATTAAGTTGTGATCAGCGTAGTTCAGTATATTTTAAAAAGAAGAAATAAATCGACAGAATTTAATACGAAAAATTGTGAACCTACAATGTTCCAAAAAATCTAAATTTAACCGAAAAGGTGTGAAAATTTACAGATTCTTTCTCCGGAGATTTAAGGGAGTTCGCAATTCGACATAAGAAATCTACTCATTCGTGTAATTGAAACGTTTTCGCCATCACTTCAATTAAAATATTAAAAATGAACAAAACGAAAATCTGAATATGCCAGAATTCATCATTGGATTTCCTTCGTAAGACAAAAAACTAACCTGAAATTCGGTCGTCAGCTTCTTCTGCGAACTTTAGAAGCCATCGAGTAACAAAATAACGCTGATCAGCGTTTTCGGAAGTTGTCTGAATGAAAAATAAATAAATAAAACGTCACATTCTGAACGATATCCGCAGAACAAGTAAAAGCGACAGACTGAAAATAAGACCCGAGATTTCAAAAAATCCGTGCTATAATTGTCTTTCAAGGATACTTTTTCTTTCTTCGAGGAATAACCGCCACACCAAGAATAAACTGTACTCCACGTCGCCATACGCAAATAATCGAGAATCGTCGATTTTTAAGATTTTCAGATTCCGCAACTGCGGCAACTAAAAACAACTGCGAACTGTTCCCATTACGAAAATTCCATCAACATCGATCGAAATTTCGGGCCCCAGAGAATTTCACGAACAATTTTCTGCGCAAGAAATTTCTTCCCGAATTGAGTGAAATGCCTTTCCGTTATGTTTGCCCTCCACAAAAAACGATCTGCAAATAGGTTTTTAAAAATAATGTTAAGAGAGATTTTTCCTCTTAAAATTGACTCGCCGAGCTTATTTTTTTGCAGATACATTCATCTTTCACGACGTCGACGCAACAAACTTTGGATTTCATTGAACATTTTAAAAACTCAGTAAGAATGTACTGCATACATGTTTAACGTGTGAATCACACTCTTGATTGAATTCTCTCTCTTTGTCCCATTAGGTTCAAATTTGGAGAAGAATTGAAATCCTCGAAAATACAAATTAATACATTTGATGCAAACTGCAGGATTCAAAAGTAATCATAAATTATGAAAGTTCGTATTTCCATGCCCTAGAAATTTCCGCTATAAGTCAAAAGTAAAATTCAGAATCACCGAATTACATATTTGATAGAATTATTTTATTTATCACAAAAATCAAGTCCAGAATTTTTTTTCAAGGGAATGAATTACATTTCTAATGAAATTCTTGTATGACTCAATGCAGCGAAATTTCGCCAAAAAACCACAGGGAATCGGAGACGAAGTACCTCTGCACCTACTCTAGCTTCACCCTCAGGCACATTAATTCACAGATGCTTTTAGTTCTGCCACAGTTCGTCCACAAAAAAAGCACAAAAAGCACCGTGAACGAATAAATATCTCCCGCATGAAACCCCAAGAAAAGGCAACGGTTTCCCAAAACAAAATAAAAGCAAGCGAAATAAAATGACTTCGCAAAACATGGAATGACGCCCGGGGCCAGGGGAAAAAGAAGCGACGATGAAACAACTAGATCCATGTAGTTTTCCTTTTTTCTTCTTCCTTATTTTTCCTTCTTCCGCTTTTTTCTCATCCCCACCGGCTCACGATCCAAATCCCAAGGGTAGGGGTTATGTTTCTTTTTTTGTTTTGTTTTTTTTCACAGCTCGGCTGAATGTTTCCGTTGTTGATCTTTCAGATCGTCTACATTTCACACGATGGCTTTTGCTTGCGGAAGGAATCCCTCCCAGATCTTCGTCACTTGCTCTTGTTGTTGAAGAAGGTCCTCCAGGTATTTGGCTATCGTGACTTGGAAGTCCGACACTCGTTGCTGGTCGAACCTGTCCATCTCTTTCTTGATCATTTTTGACACGTTCTCGAAACTCTCCTGACATCGCTCCACTTTTGCCTCCCACTGAAATAAAATATAATTAAAGATACAATACAAAGAATGCTTCGATATGCTGCATTTTTGTGCTACACGATTCTTGGAATACCATTGAAAAATTCAGAACCCCGCGAAATTACTCTTTCAGCCATTCCGACACTCGAAAAAGTAACAAATGAGCTGTCGTCATTCAAGCTACGAAGAAATCTACAATTGAATAAACTGAAAAAAATACATATTGAAGAAATAATAACTCCGCACAGGGAAGGGTAACATAAGAAACCCTGGATCACGCAGGATTGCTTCAATTTAAATCGCGAACTTTGGCTTCAGAATAAATTCAATGTCATGCTAAACTGTAATACTTTCGCTAAATTGATCTCAGAAAAATCCAACACTGTAAAACGTCTTCTCTGCGAGTCTAGGGTTTCATGGTTTTATTGTCCCCTCTCTTGAATAAAACCAAAATACAGTTGATAGGATTCTAAGCGTAAAAGGCAGATGATTTCTTTTACGAAATATGAGCATGATTGCACATAGATATTTCTAAAAAGAAAATTTGCATCAGGTTTACATGGAACAAGATACAGCATGGAATATTCTACAAGATAAGATGGTACTGTATAATAATGACTCGGATAATGGGGAAAAAATGTACCTCAGAAACCTCGTCTTTGGCAGGAGCAACTTTGTCAGTCTTGCCAGCAATTTCCAGACGCGCTTTGGTCTCACGCTTCTTGTTCAGCATTTGTTGCGCATGTTGCCACAGTTGATAAGCTTTGATCCGCTCATGTAACACCGCCTGCAATCACAAAATCCATGCACTTCAAATCAAGACAAGATCTTGAACACTTTCCCACTTTTGTAATACTGTATAGGGTAATGTACAGTTTATGGCCAAGAAGGTCCTTGATTTCAACTTCCTTTAATTCTTCTTCTTTATTCTCAAGGCGAAAATGGTGCTTTCCCCAACTTGAAACTTCCTGGAGTTGAATTTTTGGTACTTCCCTGTTATCTCTGTACCTAGCCTCTGACCAATTTAACCTGACCTAACCTAACTTCACCTAACTGCCTCCCAAAATCAGTTTCTGCTTTCTTAGGGTTTCTGCTGAAACTTATTTTGGGAGGCGGTTAGGTAAAGTTAGGTTAGGTTAGGTTATGTTAGTTAAAAGATATTTGTAACTAACATAACCTGACCTGACCTAACCTTAGTAACCTAACTTCACCTAACCGCCTCCCAAAATCAGTTTCAGCAGAATGCGGAAAAATAAAATTCAGTTTCTGGTAGGTCGTCGTGATTATGAACTCGTCCTCAAGATTTGTCTGGATGGTAATGCGGTCTAGGAATGAGGTACAGAGATAACAGGAAAGTACCGAATTGGTATTTCCTCGTCCCTTGGAATTCGACTTGAGATTGGCATTATCATACACTCATCGCATGACACGTTCACACAGGGGTAGCATAAATTACCTTCACAGCCCCAATGATTCCGATATAATCCTTGACGAGCTCGCACATGTAGAAGAAATCCGAATTCGACTGGGCAATGTGCACTTGCTCCACCTTCTCCTCGACTTCCGCCAACGAAGACAACACACGAGACAGTCCAGTGTGTTCCTCGCAATTGGCCAAAGTGGCGGCGGATCGAGCGAAATTCGTCGTGGACGCCGCCAAATCCCGTCGGTACTGCGCCAAGGCTTCCAAGGAAGTGTGTAATCTCCGAAGCTGGTTGTCCAAGTTCTCCACTTGCTGCGATTTTTCCTCAAACCACTGCAAAAAAAAAAAAAAAAACGAAGCGTTATAAATTTCCATTTCATCCTCGCAAGTCTGACAGTAGTGATTTTATTCTTCGAGAGTAGATGTCGCTCGAATTGTATCATGTTCCGGTTAACTTTCATTTTGACTTATTGTTCGCACCACTAATTTCGTAATTGTTTTCACTCAGAAAATATATAACAGCAAACCGAACGCTCTCCGCTTTTCTGCCGTGATTTTGCAGAAAAACGGCTTGCGTGTTAGTTGCGTATCTACTATAATAAAGTTGCTTGCCATCCGGTGTTCGCAGCATTTTTTTAATTTTCCCTTCCATCCCTCCTGATGTATCCCCCTGTCTCCTTCCCAATAAGCCCCGCCCAAGAGCACGGCAGGCTGGAAATCATGAGAAAGGGCATTTCCCCCACAAAACGGGCACCCTCAAATCGCACAGCATAGCTGTGCGCTGTAGCACAGGTGGTAAGGTGGGGGGGAGGTAGCATGACTCCAGGCTCTCTAAGGCCCCGGTTCAATCCCACCCCCCAGCAACATTTTTTACAAAATCGAAACCTATTTTCATTCATAACTTGCTGAATTTTTTAGTTATTTTTTAGTTATTTCAAACAAAAAAACTCAAAATTTGTCAAATGTCATTGCGCATCCAACTAAAATTTTAAAATTCAACTTTCTCCAAGAAATTGAATATTATCATGAGTTAAACTTGAAACTCGGGAATTTTTTGTATCCCCACTCATTGGCTTTAAAACTGTGTCAAAAAATCAATCTTTGACAAAATTCAAAATTTCTTTCAATGTTGCATGTGCACTTAAGTTTGCAGTATTTTCGTTTTTTAAATGTTTGAAAAGGTTGAGAATTGAATGAGATCTACACAAATACGCAAAACTTTTTTCAGAAATTGTACAAAAATTGAGAAATCAACATCATTTTTACATTTTCTAATTTTAATCATGCCTGAATTTTTGAATCATCTGTCCCAACACAACCCTTTGAAAACTTTTATTTTGTGCAAGTATTAAAAAAGTTAGAATCAGCTAAACTTTAAAATTTTGAATTCCCATTTCTGCTTTTCTTCCTGTTATTCATATTTACAAGTTGGCCAAAAACTTAATTATCAACCAATTTTTGAATTGATTCAAATGTTGCAGGTGCAACTAATTTTTCTAAATGTCTGTGTTTTAAACATTAAAAAATTGTCATATTTGACAGAGTTACAAGCACAAAAGCAAAAATATTTTGGAAAAACATACCAGAATTGGTAAAAATGTTTTCTTTTTTTGTACCTCAGCTAATTCAATTTCAAATATTTTTGAACAACAACAAAATGATGTAAAATCGTGAAATATCAGTTTGCATGTTACCCTAAATTTTTTTTATTTCTTCAATTTAAAAATTTAAATCAGATTAACAGAACAACTGGGAAATTTTTGAAATTTTCACTTAAATTTTTTAATTTTTTGATTCAGCATTTTCCATGAAACATTTTTAAATGAGCCAAACTTCAGGACACACACACACACACTGACAGATTTACAGTATTGAAAACATTTTTAAAACTGAGTTGAATTCTAAAACAGGAGAATTTCTAAATTTCAAAATGCAGTTTTTAATTTTCAAATTAATACTTTTCTGCAAACAAAAATTGACGATAAACCAACTGTTGAAATGCACACACACACTGAAAAAACTAAAGTTTAAGGCAATGGAAGCATTTTTAAAATTAAGGTGAACTCAAAAATTACGAAGTTTTTAGAAATGTCACCTGCAGTTTTTAATTTTTAAATTCATTAGTTATGAACATTTTTCAATGAGGAAAAATTTAAAATGAGCCCAACTTTAGGGGGCACACACCCTGAAAAAATGCAGAATTTTTGGCATTGGAACAAACAGGGAAGTTCCACATGGAGTTTTATGGAACATTTTCTTAACCAAGCTTTAGGGCCCATTGAACCCCAAAAAATTAAAAACATTGAATGCAGGATTTTTGGATGTGTGTGCACAAGTACAGTATGCACATATCCAAAAATATGAAAATCCGAAGTTACAACCGTCTGACAGGAGTTCTTTAAGTCGTTAAATCACCTACACACGTCTGTAGTCAGGGGTGTGTAGACTACCCTTTTAAGTTCATAAACCTGATTACACCTATTCAAACCTAATGAAATCAAAACATTTGGACACAATTTAGACTAAATATGGATAAATTAATTAATTTTGATCTGTTTGGAGGGAAAATCAACAACTTTGTGTTCACTGGACTGTACCATGTACCTCTTAGGCTTTCCATACAGTCAAGATGAATGAGAATTTTGAAAAAAAGGTATTGGATAAATTAATTAATTTTGATCTGTTTGGAGGGAAAATCGACAACTTTGTGTTCACTGGACTGTACCATGTACCTCTTAGGCTTTCCATACAGTCAAGATGAATGAGAATTTTGAAAAAAAGGTACAGGCTCATGCAAGTATTGTCTGGGTACCTTGCAATCTGCAGCAAAGGGGTCCTTTCCATTGCAGGACAAAATTGGACTTTTCTGGGGTGGGTTCAGGTTTAATTTTTCCCCAAGGTTATGAAGCCCCTGCAAAGTGGAGAAGGGCTAAGTTGGATTTTATCTGGGGATAAGGAGTCACTGTGAAATTCCAAAGTTGGACTTTTTCTGCAGTGACCTCTAAATTGGGTTTCAAGCTTTAACTTAATCCTTGAATTTAAAAAAACTCATTCTAGAAGTTTACCCATTTTCATTTCTCACTAAAATTTTTTCTGTGGAGACACCCAGATTTTCCCCAACCTTGCTCTGCTGCACACTTTGTCATGATTTTTTGAATTGTCATTCTGCACAGCTCCCCAAATTAAAAAAAAAAGCTGACTTTCCCACTGGATGGTGAAAATAGTGATTGAAAAATTGTATCTCTGCTACAAATTAAGATATGCTGGTGATTAAATCCCTATATGCATTCACAATACAGTACAGTAGTCAAAACTCTCTGAGTCAAACTTGAAGGGATCAGCAAAAAATGCAAGTTAGAGCAGTTTAGAGTGAGGGAACCAAGCATTTTTACTGGAGGAAAGGGGGAAAAAATGCTGGCTCACAGCCTTGCAGAGCATGTATTAGCTGTGGCAAGATGGGCATCCATGCATGATTATGGTGCAATACTAAACATGGAACCAGTTGTAAGCATCTGGCCCTCCACCCTCTTTTTGATGCAGATCTGCTGTACTTATGGGGAATTTAAAAAATCTCGGTAAAATTCTAAACATGATGCCCAGGTGTGGCCAGTCAATACCATTGGCACTCAAACATCATTTATTGCACTCATCATGAAGAGTATTCCAACCAGACCTGCTATCCTCATTACAAAATTTCAAAATCTCCGGAAAAGTGATACCAACAATTGCCCAGGTGTGGCTGGGCACCCCCAGCTTGTTAGAAGGAAAGCTAACTTTCATTTTCAATCAGATAATTTCAACTGTCATTGTCTTTCCAAAATTTCAGATAAAAATAACAAATTTTCATTGCTACTTTTGATCAATTTATTCTGCTGATGAAATTTTCATCATTTATTGCACTCATCATGAAGAGTTTTCCAACCAGACCTGCTATCCTCATTACAAAATTTCAAAATCTTGGGAAAAGTGATACCAACAATTGCCCAGGTGTGGCTGGGCACCCCCAGCTTGTTGGATTAAATAAGGTTCGGTGCGGTTGAATCGGGTGTTCTTTTGTCAAATTAAAGATTGAGACTACACATGACTGACATTCAATCAAAATTCGGTTAAAAAAAAAATTTCCGCCTGTTTTACCCCGCGCGTTTTGTACTTCACATCCCGTGAAACACAAATACACCAAGATTTTTAAGTAGTTCCTCAAGCTTTTCCATCATTCAAGAGGGATGTAATACGCACGATAATCAGTTTATTCAGTACAGATCTTGCTCCAATTACTGAACATCTTTGGTGTGGAGATAAGGTTTTTAGACTTCATGAGATACCGCATCCATTCAATTACCATGCGCACCTTTTTCCTCCATTAAAATTGAGAGGAAAAAGCGGGATACCTCTGTCTCAGGAGGGGACACAATTTTCAAAAAATGGTAGTTCAGGTGCAATTTAAACGTTAATGATGGGGAATTTCTGAAAGGATTTTTTTCAACTGGGTTAAATGCATGCTCAACTTTTGATTCTTGTGTCTCTCATTCTTGGAATATAGTACTGTATTTCAGTCTTTGAAAATGGGGTGCGCATCTTAGTTGTGGATAGGATTTTATCAGACTTTCAGGGTGGATAATTCAGATAAGTGCCTTACTTTAGGTTGCTTGGTACAAGGGTAAATACTGTATTACCGCAGGGGTTAGAATATAAACATGCTTTCGAATCGTCACAACGAGCTGAACTACAGTATAGTTAATCTCGATTAGGAAACCTCTGAGAAAATATCTCGGATCCCGATCAAAATTCCAACTTTTGATTCATATTTCCTACACACGCAAGCCGGGGAAACAGATTAAAGAATCCATCTCAATCTGATCACGAGAAATCAGCTCACCGGATCACTTTCGTCCATCTTGAACGTCATCTTATTCACAGTCTCCCCGAAGCGATTGAGCAACCGTTGGAACCCGGCGCCACTCAAAACACTAGTACTGGTCGCCTTCGGGAGTTCGCCATCAGTTTCCAGAAACTCCCTGAAATCCGGGTCTGCGCGAAAAGTGAGATGCTCGGCAGTACGGTTGATGAAGCGTTCCAAACTCGCGCGGCGGCGTTCGATGAATTCCACAGAGCCGCCAGTGGGAGGAGTGCTGCTCTGTGGCGACATGTCGTTGCTCATCTTCACCTTCGTCGTGCCCAAGGCGTTCTTTTCCGGCGCCGGTGGCACGATCCGACCAGAATGCAGGTATTTCTCAACCAGCTTATCGTGCAAGCCCAAGAAATCCGAGAACCTGGCGGTGAAAAAAAATATTTCAACACAATTAAAATTACGAACTTAGCCCTGAACTTCAATTTCGGTCTGAATGGAGTAACTTCTCGCTCAGCTAGTGAAATTTCAGGTCAACGACATTTAGCATCACCAACACGAAACACTTCGAACAAATTCGGAATTGAAAAGTTATCAATAATGCAGCGCACGAAACCATGCATGTCTTCTTCTAAATTTCCGGCAAGCATCGGATTGCCTTCAATTTCGCTCTTTGAATTGAGTAACTCCTCGCTTGAGGTAAATCATCACATTTGGCATCACGAACACGGAACATGTCAAGGATCGGAATTGAAAAGTGACCAATAATGCAGATCATGAAACCATTCTCGTCTTCACAACTACTTTAGCTGAGACTTTCGTTCTACCTGACATTCAACGACAATACGCTGACCTCCTCTGACACAGTTTAAAAATTTTTCTAAGGGACATTTTCATATATTTACGGGTCTACCGTTTCACCTGCGAGTGACAGTAGAGTTTCTGCGCTTGAAGTACGGCAGGTTCGTCCGAGTGGTCACCTTGTACACCACGTACGACACCATGCCTTCACCGACCTTCTGCGGTTCCGAAACGGAGATCTCCAGGAACTGATCGTCCTGTGCTTCCGGGGTTTTGGGCGGCGCAGGCGCGGGTTCGGGTATGATCATCTGCGGGTCCTCCTCGTCTTCATCCTCGTCTTCGTCGTCATTGAGCGGGACTTCTTCTTGCAACGGCGGACTCGACAAGGTCGCCTCGGACGCGTCCTTGGGATCGATGTTCTCCATGGCTGATGCGAACAGGTCCTCGTTGGAGTCTTCGCGTTGCGACGCGTCTAGCGGGTCGGAATGTTCCGCCATCATCGTTTTGGGTTTTTTTTTTCTTTCAAAAAGCCACTCAAAAATCACGAAATCTGATCAAGGAAAATTCCGAATAACAATCGTCAACGATCATTTTTCCACCGAATTTAAGCACGCCAACAAAATTGTTCTCGGTGTTGGCAACGCAAAAGAATAATCTCGAGTTGAAAAAAGCCCAATATGGAAGAGCGGGAAGAACGGGTGTTCAATCCGAAAAAGAAGACCGAATTAGTTCGCACCCTTTTTGTGGCACCTCAACGATCTCCATGAAATTAAATGAAGTCCTACCTTCCAAATAACGACAGCTTCAGAGCATTACTTCCCGAGAAGTTGAATTTATAAATTGACAATTCACGACTGGCCGAAACGTTCAGAAATGATGTAGAGAACCAAAAAGAGGAAAAAATACTCGTCCAAATTAATACTGAAGGTATGAAGATGAAATTTGAATTTGCACAAAAAAGCCAGACAGTTTTAAAAATATCGAATCTTGAAACAATAATTAGTGAAACAAAAAAATCCTCATATCACCAGATAAGCAAGAATTTGTTTCCTCGAAGTACCACTTGATGGAGATTCACGTATACGAAAGACAAATGACCAAAACATCACGACACCTAAGTTGTGCCTTGAAGAGCCTCAATAAGCAAAATCTATCTTCGTTGGTTGAAGTCCCAACATTCAGATAATGACAGCTGGTCATTAAATCCAAAATTGAGTTCAATACGTTGAGGAATTACGTGGATGAATCCCACCGCACAGTTCACCAAAGAAGTCCAAAATGCTAAAGCAACTCATTATGGAGAAGGATGGCGAAGGAAATTAATGCTGGTTGAATGTTTGATCAAACTGATTTCTCACGATATTTTGTTTCATAAGAAAGCTTGTAATTTCTTCTGAAATGAACTACGTTGCCAACACCGTTTTTCTATCTCGAGTGTCGAATTCGATAGAAAAAGGGTACCTTTCGAAGAAAAAACCCATTGAAATAAATAGACATCAGAAGGAAACATGCACCATGTAAACCAACAACAATCAAGCATGACTAAAAAATTCCGCAACGCGTTTTCACGGGTTTTTCAAACGCGTCACTTTGATGATCTTGTTCTTCCGCCGACGATCTCTGGCTTTCAAAAGTTCCCAATACTCGAGAGTATTCGGGTCAAGATCCTCCAACTTTGGCGGTGGCCCTGAGAAAAGAAAGACATCATGAAGATTCCCGGAAAAATAAATATGAAAACTAAAATAATATTTCGTAGTCGTTGCCAACCTAAATTAAATTGACTTTGAAAAATCAGAACTACTGTAATTTTCAACCCGCTCGTCACATTCAAGTATTCACCTGTTGGAATTTTCCACAGCCAATCCGGGTATTCGGCACGAGGCTTCAACATCACATCTTCACCTTCTTTGAAAACATTCGTACCGCAACAATAAGTCGCCAGCTTCTTCGGATCACTCTCAACTGGCATCTCTCGCTTCTGCATCACACCGGCTGTTTTGCCTGGCTTTCCCTTCTTTCCGAGTCCCACTGGTAAAATTAAAAATTTAATCAATGCTTTTATCCCCAGCTCAATCCAGCCTTCTGAAAACTCCCCTTCCCCGTTAAAAATTGAAAGTCCCACATTATTTCCTCCCAACTTGTATAAAGGTATTTTTCTGAGGTATTTTTTTCACAGCAAAATTTTTTCATATTAATAGCCCGAATCCTACATGTTCTGAGTTCACTTTGGATGGACTACGAATGATCAAATTCAGAAAACTATACATTTTTTTGCGTCCGGCTACAAATTGCAAGAAACAAAATTTTCAGGGTGGGTCAGCACCAACAGTGGATAATAGCTACGATAGGACTGCTGAGAATGCTGTATTTATTCGAGCACCACACGTATCTTTTTTTTTTTTTTTAAATAATTAAGCTCTAAATATGGATTGCGGGTCATTTTTTTCTGAAAATTTTTCAACATTTTCGTGCGCATCATACACATTTGGCGAAGTTTCTAGGGATGATCTTTACGAGACTAGGATGAATAAGATAGTATATTTAGGCTCAAATCTAACTGAAAGATGGACACGTGTACCAAAACAGAAAATTCAACAAAATTCAATTCATAATTTCAGCAGTAGAAAAATAAAATTTTAGCTTACGACTAAAATAAATTGATTTTCGTGTCGCAGGAAATCGGCATGCACAGTCTCGAAAATGATTCCAATTAATCTAAATTTCATAGATAAAAAAAAAACCCGAGGTCTCACCGGATGAACCCCCGGACTTCAAATGCCGACATGATTGCGTCAATAGGGTTTGGTCAAGTGCCAATCGCAGCACACACCTCAACATTTTCACTTTTCACACTTTCACAGCGTCTCGCAATTTCATCGCAATGACAGACTGTCTTTCAACTTACAAAAAAAAAAGAACAGTAAACTACGTGATAAACTAGCAAGGAACACCCGCGAAAAACAAAATCAAAGAACGCACAATTTTTTGAGACAGAAACGTCAGAACATCGATTTCAGTCTTCAACAGCCTCGTAAATCCCGATAATTCATTTCTCCATCGGGGTCTTTGAATTCAAAGCTCTTTTCATCACACAAGACATCATAGCACGCAAACAAGGGAGCACTGAAACGCCCTGCCCTGTTCAGGATGTCAATGACAAACTTGATAAAAACAAAGCAACGCAAGCACACAGAAAATAAATAACTCTCATCACCACAAATCAAAACATCTTCCAAAGCTCAATTCACACACTTGAAAAATTGGATGTAAAAAAAAGTGAATACGTTATCCAACACCTGTGGTATCTTGTTGCTTAGGTGCTGACATTGAGAAATGGATGCAGTCAGTTTCATTGAAACTTGGATATGTTTTCTCACCAATCTGCACTTGCAGCGTCATCTACACGATTACAAGTGAACTGCTCTTTTCACATCAGAGCCCAATACCCCTGAATAAAACCTACGGCGGCCTCGTCAATAATTTTTGGATAAAGCATTTGCTGCCTGGAAACAGGAAACACACAGTGATCTATCAAAATAAGAGAATCTAATATTTTTTCAAAAGATTATTCCGACGTGGAACACTCCAAGAATTGGGTAAAAATGTTCAAAGGATCGACCAACGGTGATAGGTCATCAACAATGGCAGGGATTACTTCTTCTGCCGGATCATGATCCGGTTTCTTCGTCCTGGATCTGAAGAATGAAAAGAAAACTGTTTTTTTTTATCTCCAATTGCGATCAGTTTAATACTACAAACCTCTTTTTGTTCGGGACCCAGCTCGAGGATCTTTTGGTGAAGCCAAGATCTCGTTGGATAATCTTTTGGACGTCATTAAAAGTGAGGTTGAGTTCATCAGCTATTTTCCTGATGGTCACTCGCTTATTATCTTCGAGCAATCCACGCACACGCTCAACGTTTTCAGTACAACTCGGTTTCGGTGCACGTGGCTCATCATCGAGGTTGAAATCCCCGGCTTTAAATCGCTGGTACCATTTTTGAATAGTACTCATTGATGGAGCTTCATCACCGAAAAGTTCCTTCATCTCAGTTTCACAATCCACGGAGTTCAACCCACGCATGAAATTGTAGAAAAAGATCGCTCGGTATTCGCGGTCAGAAACAGTGGGGAAACTCTTAAGCAGCACTTTTCTCTTTCTCGGTCCCATCCTGTGAATGAAAAAAGCAGAGATTTCCTCTCGTTACAACCGTATGCACAAAAAATCTGTGCCAAACGTGAAAAGTTCAATAAAAATAAAATACACAAATTCCTCTCTCACAGCAGTTGAATTTTTGTGCTGAGAACACACATTAATCCTTGCCTAACCAAAGCTCATTCTCGCTGCTAGAGATCAAAACACAGCCTCTTCATCAATGCACCCGCACGAAAAAAATACCAGCATACATCCTAGACTCTGCATACACTAACAAACACGACTAAGTAGAAAGGTTGCTGAAACATCTTCAATTTTCTTTCCTTTTAGGGAGATCAAGGAAGAACTCTCGGGATAACAGGGTTTCACAGGAAGACATCTTTGCAGTTTCGCCATCCAGTGGCAGATTTCATCACATGCAGCTTAGGTTTCACATATACGCAGACCAGGATCTCTGTTGGTGAAAAGAATAACGAAAAATAGGTGAAGTATACACTGTTACACGTTCGAGACAAGAAAGGAATGGTTTGTTTTCAAGATGTCAGCACAGCAATTACAAAATCAGTTATTTGGGAACCATAAATCAGAATGCGCGAAACCACTGTGGAATCGATACGAAGAGTTGAAACAAAGCTTCCTTCAAATTCCAAGAATTTCCTCGCAGCTATTACTGAGGCGAACATAAACTTTTTCATCAATAAAACATTACCAAAACTAAAAAATGCAATTTCATCATCCAACAATACGAAATATAAAGAGTTTATGTCTGCTATCAAATCACGCACAAAAAAGGATTTTTACAGGCCAATAATTATCGAACGATTCAAAGAAATGTGCTGAAGAAGTCAACACAGGTGAGAATTAGAAAATCAATAATTCAATTAGATTAAGAGGGACAGTTGAAAAATCTCATCATTTCCCAAAATGTAAAGCCGCACATTGAAAAAAAAAAAAAAGATGGACAAATTTTCTTCCTGGAAAAAGAAATTCATTCTATTGAGAACAATGCTTCAAATTCGCATGCGACTCTCCTCCCAATTCTATAATTTTAAAAAATTCCATAAATGAGTATAATTACGGACATTTTCGAATAAAAATTGATGAAGAAAGGGGGGATGGGGGGCTGTCGACGGGATTCAAGATTGGATGCCTTTTTTCGAAAATATCAGATTCATTAGGCTAAAATGTAGTTCGATATTTCGAATTCTTCATCTCACCTGTAGCAAAATTTACAATTACAGGCACATTGGTGTAGCACGCGGTCACGGAGCATTTCCTTTCAGCTCCGCAGTCAAATCTCTAGCTACTGACCGGTTTATGGCTTCGAAGTCGATCGTCACTTTCCTGCGCTTCGGATTGAATTTTCTGGAACAAAGAAACGCTTCGTTTAGGAACTGGAGCGTTTCAACTTCTATCAAAAATGAGAAATTCACCGATATGGCAAGCCGATATGATCGAACATCAGCTTCGCTGCCATAGTTGGTACCTTGTCCGCATGCTTATCCGAAAAATATATCACCGACTTGATCCCTGACTGAATAATCAGTTTGGCACATTCGTTACAAGGAAAAAGCGCCACGTAAATGGTGCAGCCTTTGACGTCGTACGTATTCTTGTTCATAATTGCGTTCTGCTCAGCATGAACAACTGAAAAAAAGGAAAAAAGGCAAAATGAATCTCAACAAAATGAACATGAAAATTTAATCATTTAAAATCTCTTCAGAATTTTAACTGCATTAGAAAACATGATCTGGATTAAATGAAGAAATAAAACAAGGTCAAACGCATTGAAATACCTATCAAAACAAAATTATAAGCTGTTTTTTTTTTTCAAGTTTTGTTCGACCCATGGACATCGCGTATTTTACGTCATACTCGAATTGCACGAGGCAGAAATTGTGATCCTTTCTTCGATTAAACAGCTAATAATGCCTTCGTGCATTAAAAACATAAATAGCATTACAAGATTAATGGCTGTTACAGTCAAACCTCGTAAATCGTAATTGGTGATATTCTGGGCTTCGAAACGCTTATTAAATGAGTTGACCGGATGCTGAACTTGGAGACACGGATTCATTTGCAGAATTAGTCTTTCACTTTCCTTCGAAACACATCCGTTACATTTTTAATGCTTTTCTCTTTCCTGTGTCAACGAAATATTAAAAAACGGACCCCAGGAAGTTCGAATTACGGAGGTTTGAGGGGGGAAAGCGAGGATTTCAATACATTGTTTTTCAGGGACTTAAGACAGCGACTTGAAGAAAATTTCACACTAGGAGGTTCGAGTTATCGAGGTTCATCTTCAATTGAAGCTTTCCTTGTTCTTCTGGGTTTTGATTCAATCAAGCTGAACTGACATTATTCTAAAGGAGCACAGTAATTTTGAGAAAGTTGATGCAATATTCTCTCGAAAACATTTCGAAGCACGAGCACGTGAAAACGTATCTATTGCTGTATCTGAACCAAGTTTCGCATTCATTTGTCAATATTGCTGGACTTTCTTCAAAAGGCCTCCCGGCGAAAAAACATATCCCACACTGCAGTGACTCACCATACAAATGCTTATTATTCAAAGGGTCATTGGGGTCTTTACCCCAGGGCATCAAATCATCGCTGCAGCCGTTTGGCATTCCGTTGTACCCGATCCCAACGATTTTATTTTCCGGATTCACGATGCAAGCTCCTACTTGGGAAACCGGGTCTTTGCTTCGCATTGCGGACAAAAACGTCATCGACATGAAGTACTCTTCCCAAGACAGGTAATTTTCCCGCTTCAAAGAAATGGGCGACACCGGACTCCTGTCATATAGAATAAACATCATGAACAATTATTAAATAAAAATCGACTCTAGGGATTACGGCTGTGGACCCAGTAGTCCTCGTCTCCTTTCATCTTTTCTTTAATGATGGCAAAATTCCGATCAAATTCTCAATGATTCATGAGATAATCAAGAGTGGAACGAGAAAGAGCAGACTGATGATTTCACAGAACCGTAAGATCCTCGGAACAATCGCGGTCATCACCTTGAAAAACCAAATTTGATCCAAGAACTCATCAACTGGCCACTGTGGTCATGCGTGAGCGTGCAATATTTAATCAAGTTCATTGGATAGATAATTACGTGATCTTTACGAGCGTTTTTCTCGGGTAGATGGGAGTTCAAGGAAAAATCTTACGTTTAACTGCGGTTGTGTCCTTATTCAATACTTGCAATCGTGAATTGGAGGAGGGAAACCAATGGAGCAAAAATAAACAATGATAGTAACTTGAAACATTTAACTTCATGTTATACAAAACATGAGGCGATTAACCGAGGATTTAGTAAGCTAGCCCACTTACACTCTAATGCGACATCTAGCGGACACTTTCCGGAACTACACTCAAACGTCCGGAGAGCACACGCACAGAAGCTAATCTGATGGAGTATCAGCGGAGGCGTGGGAGCGAGCCAGCGAGGCGAACCGCCAGTGATCATTACGTTCTGACTGCTTGACTAAGCATCATCTGCTTTAATCCCTGACTGATGTTCGACTGTGTTACGTCGTGATATTAATACTTGTGCCGTAAAAAGCCTGGTCGAAGTTACTGACTGAGAACAACCCTTATTATTTTCATCATTGTACCCCCCAACATCAGCAACTTCACAAATTTATTTTCGCCAAAATCTTATTCCATTAGCATCTGGTTGGATTGAGATAACTGTTACATCAAGTTCAATAGGGTATGAGTTGATTTTTCGAAACACACATACCCACAAGGCGCACGGAGAGCAATATCTCTTTGCCGTCCGTTCGATGCATTCACGACCGCATTTTCACGGGAATTCGGTACCGCATCATCTGATGAAGCACGATTTCCTCCAGCACAGTTTTCTCCTTCGATTTCATGCGCATCGAGATCATCGAGGTTGAAATCCCCGGCTTCAAACCGCAGGAACCATTTTTGAATAGTACTCATTGGTGGAGCTTCATCACCGAAAAGTTCCTTCATCTCAGTTTCACAATCCACGGAGTTCAACCCACGCATGAAATTGTAAAAAATCATGGCTCGGAATCCGAGCTCAGGAACATTGGGGACACTTTCATGCAGCACTTTTCTCTTTCTCGGTCCCATCCTGTAAATGAAAAATGCAGAAATTTCCTTTCGTCACAACAGCTTGCACAAAAAATCTGTGCCAAACTGGAAAAGTCCAAGAAAAATAAAGATACACGAATTCCTCTCTCACAGCAGTTGAATTTTTGTGCTGAGAATACACATTAATCCTTGCCTAACCTAAGCTCATTCCAGCTGCTTGAGATCAGAACACTGCCTCATCAATGCTTCCGCACGAAAAAAATACCAGTATACATCCTAGATTCTGCATTCACTGACAAACACGACTAAGTAGAAAGGTTGCTGAAACATCTTTAATTTTCTTTCCTTTCTGGGAGATCAAGGAAGAACTCTCGGGATAACAGGGTTTCACAGGAAGACATCTTTGCAGTTTCGCCATCTAGTTACAGATTTCATCACATGCGGCCAATAATGAGTCGGATACTTGAATCAGGTCTTAGATCCGGTAGGATTGATATAACTAGGTTAAATGAAGTTAAAAAAAGGCTATGTTGAGTTCATTTTAAAAACATGACATACCCAGAAGGCGCACGAAGAGCACCATCTCTTTGCATTCCGTTCGATACATTCCCGACGTCATTTCCGATAGGAACCTCATTTTCATGAGAATTCGACACTACATCACCCGATGGTGCAGGACCGCCAGCGTCGTTTTCTCCTCCGGTGACTCCATCCGCCTGAAGATCATCGATTTTGAAAATCTGCTCGTCCGAGGGATTTTCGACAAGATGTTGACAATTGGGTTCCAGGCCATCTAGCAACTTCGCAGGAGGAGCCATCTCATTCAACTTTCTTCTATTAGCACTGCGCTTTCACTTTTTCACTCGTACTACGAAGATTCGCGAGTTGGCAACCGAATATAGCTTTCGAACTTCAACGATCACCTGCGGGAAAATAAATTGCAAAATCAGGGTCGAACGGAACACCCCTAAAACGGAACGAAATTTCTTCGCACTGCACTCGTAATTCTTCCCGAAATCAATGAAACAAATGAGAAACACATGGAATCCCAAAAATGTACTATCAAGAGAAAAACCTGAGACTCACATCCCAAAAAGGACATTTGAAAAAATCCTTGCGAGAGACACAAAAATATGCTACTTCACAGAGCCCCAACTAAAGCGTGATCAAGCATCCCAAGCTACTTCCGCATTGGAAGAATTCAGAAGCCGATCGATAATGTTGTGCCTCGATATCAAGCCGAAACGAAATTGTTACTATCAGTGACATCTACCAACAATGATAAAATCATCACCGAAATGGACAAGGTAAGATAATTTATCGAACAGGTTAAAAATTCCCACTTCTCAAAATCTTCGAGCATCAAAAATTCTTTACCAGCTAAGTAATCGCGAAAGTAGATTCAACTTCACAATGCGTCCAGAAAAAAAGATCTGGGGATTCTTGAGGAAAATCTCCGACATTTTAAGTCATTCTTGTTCATTCAGCCTCGTCGATTTGAACGAAATCAGGCTTCCACACGAGAAGATTTGATTCATATTCAGGTCTTCCGTCGGCGACTTATTTCCTGACCTCGTCATTTCATCTTCTTTCGGTACGACAGGAAGAACATCCAAGTGGATCCAAGAACCTGATTGGAAATAAATTGCATTAAAAAAAATAATCACCAGGTTCACGACTTGTGTATGGAGAAATTCTGTTTTGTGTGCCCCTACATGATACCTGAAATAACTAACGAGCAACTTGACCTCGCACGTCTGAACAACGATCAAGCCCCACATAATTTGAATTACAATTAGTTCAAGAGCTAGGGTCAAAAGTAATCCAATAGGACAGACGAAACACATTTTACAAATAATAGGGAGTTTGACCATCACTTTCGTTCTTATAGGGATTTAAGGCTTGCTTGAGTGTAAGCCTCATCAACATGCTTCGGTTCCAGTTAAGTAGGGAATTTTGTGCTAGCGGCCTTTAGAAGAAGTTTTAATTTGCCCTTTCCGGGAGTCCTGTTGAAAAACATTGACCATGAAATTATCTAAATAAAAAAAAAAAAATTTCGGGATATTCAATCTCACCAGTGATTTTCGAGAGCTTCATTCTGATATTCCCAAATGTTTCTTCCTGATCAACCAAGAGCTGGATGTGATTCTCATTATTCGAGCGTACGTTCAAGCGGATCAGTTTCGAGACCGGAACTTGAACTATCTTGATCGAATCCCAAATCTTCCTAGTACTTTCTGAAGATAAAAAAAAAAAGGTTTAGTTCGATTCATCGCAATACGAACCAGTATAAAATTATTTCACGCCTTTCAGTCACATTAAATACTGTGCTGGACTAACTTCTGTGAGTTCACTGAAACTGATCTCTTCGAAATCGTCCCTCGAAATACTGTAGTTACTAATCTTTATAAGGACTATGCCTCACAAAATTGTAAAAAGAAATGTGTTGAGCATTACGTAAATGAGCAGAAAAATCTAAAAATTTTCCTTAGCCACGAAATCAATGCAGTACAGTATCATATTACGAAATCGACAATTCAGAGAAGCGACCTGAATGTTTCAGAGGGGATCGCTTTCGTTGCTAGAATTACAAAAAACCAAATACTTTGTACTTAGCAGGACAAAAATCCAAGGAGTTTCCAGAAGAATGTAACTTTTCTCATTCGAATGACACAACTTTGTTCAAACTGAAAGAAATTCTCAAACTGTAACAGAATAAGTCAATAATTCAACGAAGCCTTAACAGAATTCTACATGAAAAAAATGATCTCGCGAGTATTAAAAAAAATCAATATAAGTAAAACAGAATAAATCCAAAAATCTTTGGATTCCGCTTCCAGAAAAGACGTAAATCTAACATACAATTTAGAAAACTCACCATCCATAGCCACCAAAGCAGGTGCTAACTTGACTCACAAGCGACAAATGAAACTTCGGCAGCGAAGGTGGATCAGCGTCGGCTTTTCCCCACCCCCAATACAGCTAAACTGGTAGTGAAAGCAAGAATATCCCTAAATTCCGAACGAACTCACATTCGGAGTAGTTGTACGAAGCCAAGGTCAATTCATCCCTTAAAACACGATCGCCGGAAATCTTCTTCAAAATTAAACGTCTTTCCGGGAGTCCTGTTGAAAAACATTGACCATGAAATTATCTAAATTAAAAAAAAAAAAAATTCGGGATATTCTATCTCACCAGTGATTTTCGAGAGCTTCATTCTGATATTCCCAAATGTTTCTTCCTGATCAACCAAGAGCTGGATGTGATTCTCATTATTCGAGCGTATGTTCAAGCGGATCAGTTTCGAGACCGGAACTTGAACTATCTTGATCGAATCCCAAATCTTCCTAGTACTTTCTGAAGATAAAAAAAAAAGGTTTAGTTCGACTCATCGCAATACGAACCATTATAAAATTATTTCAGGACTTTCAGTCACATTAAATACTGTACTAAACTAATTTCTTTGCGTTCACTAAAACTGGTCTCTTCGAACTCGTCCCTCGAAATACTGTAGTTACTATTCAGAAATTCTTAAACTGTAACAGAAGGATAAGTCACTAATTCAACGAAGCCTGGATAGAATTCTACATGAAAAAAAATAATCTCGCGAGTATTAAAAAAAAATCAATATAAGTAAAACAGAATAAATCCAAAAATCTTTGGATTCCGCTTCCAGAAAAGACGTAAATCTGACATACAATTTAGAAAACTCACCATCCATAGCCACCAAAGCAGGTGCTAACTTGACTCACAAGCGACAAATGAAACTTCGGCAGCGAAGGTGGATCAGCGTCGGCTTTTCCCCACCCCCAATACAGCAACAACAAAAATTCCCAACATTCCATACTTCATGTAACAGACTCAACAAAATTCCTCGAAGCCTACCCAATCCAAAACAAATTCAGATCCAATAGGAAATCAGGTCACGCGCTTGAAGCTTATTCTTTACACTCCTTCCAAATCGTTCAAGTGCCATGTAACATTTACATGGAAAATTGAACATATAATAAATTGAATAAATATACTGTACTAGCGAGTTAACTTCAATCGGGAATCACCGAAAAAGAAAGTATTGTACTGTATTGTACTGAATCACGGAAAACCAGAAGAGAAAATGGCACAACGACGTTTGAACCATCCCAAGCAAAAATTATCGCGACTTCCTAATTATACTATCAAGGAATCATGGTCCGAAAGGTCTTCGGAAAAATTTCGTGATCTTCGCGATTCGATTACTCCAAATGAGCCGTTTGTCCGCCTTCTCCTCCCGTTTGAGCAAGTATCTGTACAAATGGCTGGAAAAAACGAGCTTCACTCAGAACTTTCACATACGAATGGAATTCGTCAAAAATTCCCACTTGATTAGATACACTAAGAAGTAAAGAAGCAGTATGCCTTCGTGTTTAGGGTAGGGTCGCAGTTGGTCTCAGAAGACGTTTTGGGCGGCTGCTTTCCGTGAGACGTTTTTAATTTTAAAGTTTAAGATGTTGCTGGAAAGTCGTCCCACCAGAATCTTATCCATCAAGATATTGCATAGATAACTTTCATGCATATTTCAGGAGCAATTTTAAATTTCACGCCGTCTTAACCAACGATCGAAATTGACTTCAACCATCTCATATTTTGCGTCGAAGGAAACTTGAAAGGATTTTCGATTAACCAAGTAAATCTTGCCACTTGGATTAGTGCCATTCAACTAATCAAGAATCAACTCACCTTTTTGAAAATAACCACAGCCTTGAGGTAATATTCGTCCCTCGACAACAGCTTGAACCGCACAGTGTGACCGACGATATTCTTTTGCAACCAATTCGAAGTCGCCTGATCGTCATACACCGTTATGCAGCGCTGAAAATGACCTTCTACAGGGAGAGGAAAAAGAAGTGCTACTAGGCCCCAGTCGTAAACGTGTCAAAAGAAGTGGGTAACGCCTCAAGAGTTTTAGCCGAGCACCAGATAAAAGTTGTCGTCCCCTCCAGTCCGAGTGACACCAGGGTCCTGAAATTGATGATTCGAACAAAATGCAGACGTCATTTGAAAAATTTACAGCTGAACCTACAAAACTAGAAATTCAAAACGTGGATCTTCTTCAAGCCCATGTCTAATTTCTCCTGAAGGAGCAATGTATTGTATTAAAAACCTCCGTAACTCGAAGGTTTTCTCCCTCAAACCTCAACGACTCGAATTTTCTGGAGGCCATTTGGCAATCATTTTATTGACACACGACAGAGAAAAAGAAAATAATGTAACTTGATGCTTTTCGAAAGAAATTGAAAGATAACTCATGAAAATGAACCCTTGCCTCGAATTCTAGCATCCGGTCAACTGATTTAAAAATAATTCAAGGCTCAGAAAATCACCGATTACAAATTCTTGAAATTTTCCCTTTTCCGTGACAGTAAAACGCTTCTTTCCCCACCACTCAAAAACTTTTACACGGTTCCTTGTAGTTCGACGAATAGATTCGATTGTAATTGATTTACCTGAGCATCTTGTGGGAGTTCCTTTGAGTGTCCATGCATCAGAGAGCTCACTTACTACCTTTTCCTTAACTGGGAAGGCTTGTTGCACTTAGGAAACAGCTACTTAAGAACTCCGTGCCTGAAAGCTCATCACTTGAACCAGTAGACTTTATATAAACAAAAAATTAATCAAAAACATCCTGGAAATCGAAATAGCTTAGTCAGTCTACGAAATAAAATAACATTTCGTTACAATGAATCTCGTTAAATTAATGACATCAACTGACACAAATCTCGAGGTCCTATTTTAGGCGCATTATAACGAATGTTTTGACATGACGAATGATTTTTCCACGTCCTCAGAGCTTCATTGTAGCGACATTATGATGTACAGTGAACATTTTAGCAAAGGAACTGCACCAAGGATGAAGTGCAAACATCAAGACCCGGGATTTAATGCTATCTTAATCGTTC